ACGTCCTGAACGGCCGGGACACTTGCAATCAAGGTGATAAACTTCTACCTTTCTACCGACGAAAGGACGAACTCTCTGTACGCCAGGAAATAATCGTGTGGGGGATCAGAACAGGTCTTATACCTAAGCTGCGGGATCCATCCTACAGGACTTGCACACAGAACATCAAGGTACTGTGAAGATGAAAGTGCTTGCACATTCCTTTAAGTGGTGACCACCCGTCGATGCTAACATCGAGACTATATCACCAAGAAGTGCAGCGGATGCTCCTGCCAAAGCAACATGTCTCCAAAGGCACCACTCCATCCTTGGTAGGTTCCCAGTGAACCATAGCGTCGTGTCCTCTTGCACTTCGCAGGACCGTTCCTCGGCCAGATGTTCCTCATTGCAGTTGGTTCATTCTCGAAATAGCCAGATGTCTAGGTCATGAGTTCTACAACTGCAGTACACACTGTCAACATCTTTCTCGACATGTTAACATGACGAGAACGCGTTCAGGAAGTCCGTTCCATGCAAATCCACATGGAACGGACTTCCCGAACGCTTTGTCACTGAAAATGGTCCGCCAATTTGAGGCAGGCGAATTTCAGACCTTTCTTGTGGAGAATGGTGTGCGATATACTTTCAGTGCACCATACCATTCTGCGACAAATGTACTTACAAAAAGTATTGTGCAATCCTTCAAGCACAGCCTATGAAGAGGAAAGGCTCAACGAAATCTGGCATACTTCCTGTTATATCACACCACACCACATTGGACAACTGGTGAAGTATCTGCCAAACTGTTTTTCGGTCGTGAACTGCGAACTTGACTGACACTTCTATGAACAGATCTGAACGGACGATTGTACTTGAAGACAAAACAAGATCTTGTTCCGAACTGGCTACTGCGCTCGTTTTCAGGACAGGACCCTGTATCAGTGCAAAATTACCACAGCCAGGGCAAGTGGGTGCCTGGAACAGTTGTGAGGAAAACCGGCTTTCTTTATACCAAGTAAAGGTCGGAGGAGCCACATGGAATCGTCGCATTCACCAGGTACGTAGTGGTCAGGCCACTCCATCTACTAAAGCCAACCAGAGCCGGAAAACGAAAAGGTGCTCGCTTAAGCCCAAGTGTGGAAGTGAAAGATGGCACGCCAGAGATGACGCTTCTGCAAACTTCAAAACAAGTTGGCAGCACAAGTGGCACACCAGCAGTAGGCCATGGCAGTAGCGCTGCAAGGAAGAAACATCAAGAAAGTACGACATATGCTACTCGTCCCCAAAAACTGCGGCGACCACCTCGAAGACTGGAACTTTAAATTTCTTGGGGAGGAATCTTTGTGTTTAGCCTAACTGAAGATTGAAGCAACAATCATGGGCAAAATTACACAACAAGAAAAACATGGCCGCCCTACTGTACCCGTTCCACCATGCATTTTGCAACTGTTCTCTTCATGCCTTTACTTGTAAAAGTAGGCTAATAAATTCCAGTTAACAAACATAACAAAGGGGAGAGGTTGACGCGTGCTGATGTCAGCGCTTCGGACCAATGGGAGCGTCGCACGCGTCACCCTCTCCTCCTTCTTCTCTCTCTCTCTTCCCGGTGCTCACAAAGGAAAGAAACCACCGGGTTTTCGTCAAAAGAAACGTCCTAATGCTAATGTATTAAAAAGAAAAATCGGGGACGGTTGGCACAGGCTTTCGGCTACTTGTCGCATGCAAGCAAGGCTATGCAGTGCTAGGGAAAATGGCGCTAGCGCCACCTGGTAGGTTCAACACGATGTGCCTATGTGCCTCACGCGGAGGCCGCCGCTTTTCCACTAATTTGCCTTTGTCTTTGTCTTTAGTTATTTGGCTCTAAAGAGCCGCGGCACCGCGGAGAGGCAGCAGCGCGTACCATGTTCCCTCTAGTTGACTGTAAAGGGCCGCCCACACTAGCGAGAAAACGCGCGTGGCACGCCGATCGCGGCAAGTAACAAAATGTCGCCGAAGCACAGTCAGCGCCACGAGCGCGTGCAGAGACACGCCCTTTATCTTGCCGCTTAACCGATTTATCGGCGCGCCGGGCGCGTTTTCTCGCTAGTGTGGGTGGCCCTTAACACGGCCGATAGGGCGCCGCCGCTGCTTCTTACACTATGTTCAAACTGGGTTCACACGATGATAAGATTGGATTGTGTTGTCCATTCCCCTTGTAGCAGGTGAACAGAGTCCACGCTTTTCTCTGGCCAAAGGAACTACTTCCGAACTAGCTAACTACTTGTTGCTTGGCACCTTACTCTCCGTCCCGGTGGAAGAAAGGTGTGCTTCTTCCACCGTGCTCTTGGTGCACACAGTGATCCTATCAGTTCTTGGCGTAGCGTGAACCGGGTCCTCACTGACTCTCGCTACAATCTGTGAGGTGGATCAAATACTTTACTATACTCTATTTTACCTTATAATATACCACAGGGAAGGCTACAAGCGCGAGCTCCTTGCTCTAGGGCACGTCCCGGTGGCACAAGCTCTGGTGCACTAAGGGCTGCTGCCAACGCTATGAGCTCGCGCTTCTAGCCTTCGCTGCGGTACAACATAAGGTGAAACGGAGTATGAGGCAATACAGGACACTATCCTCGTTTGTATTAGACAGAACTGCGGCCGCGCCGAATCCTTCACTGATGGAGTAGTTTATTCAAATACTTTACTAGGGTAAACACATTCCACTCCTCTCAAATAGAATAGCCTCGGTGCGGACAGGTTTTCTCGGCTTGGCGAGGGCCGTCTATCGTCGGGGAGGTCTCAGCTATCGGGCGGTAAATTATGATCACGATGAGAGTTGTTATACATACCAAATTCATTGTTGTAAAAATGCTCGAGACCCGTGCCGCGCGCCACTTCTAGGAACATGATGTCTAAAATTTAGCTCAGTGCTGCGCCAAATACTTTGCTGAGGTTGCACGTTCCCAAGGGTTGCACGTTGCAGGTCCCTCGTGCATCGACGCACCTTTTGAAACATGAAGGGGCTTTAGGTGGAATCGGAGACGACACCGCCGCGACCACCGCGAACATCTAGGTGCACATGCACGTGGGCTGAAGCGGACCTGCCCTCTGTCAGGGCTGGATTCGGCGCTGTAGGCGTTCTGTGTAATGCAAATGAGCGGAGTGGAATGTATTCCCCCTTGTAAAGTATTTAGTTTATTTGTCGACGCCTCCCTCCCACCCCCCTCCTCCTCTCGCCGCCAGAGCACGTGACCAAGCGACACCTCGGAATGCGGTGCGGTTGACAAAGTCGCGGATGCGCGGACGGTACCGCTAGAGCCACTAAATGAGCTGCGCTAGGTATAGACGATTTGCAGCAGCTGTGCATGGACGCCGCCATAACTGACCTTCGGTTTTTGTTTCCTCTTGTTCCGTTTATTTCACTTCATCATTACCGTAGCGGGCCAGGTTATTGCCATATTAGATTCAACTGTGTCCTTTTCTAAAGCATCGGCCTTTGTAGAGGATCGTCAACTACCGTTTCAGTTGCTCGGAATCTCGGTAAGGCAAGAGAAGGTCAGCAATGGCGGCTGTAATTTGGCGCGTGTGTAAAGCGTCTATACCGCTGCTGCCGTCGCGCGTGTTTCCGCGGTGCTTTGTTGTCGCCTTTTTCTATGCATTCTCCGGGAGTGTCCTGTACTTTCCTAGTAAATTATTTGGAAGGATGATGATGGTAGAATTATGATAATAATGATGCTTAGGGCTATTCTTTTTAATCGGGTGGTCACGTATTTGCCGCGTCTAACCAAGTAGACTTCCTTGTCCACACTTTTCTTTCGTGGTCCACCAATTTTCTTGTCTCCACGTCGTGGTGTTGGCGATCCTTCCCAGAGCCGTATATAGGGAGAGTATGGTGACTGGGAGGAGCAGAAAAGGCCAGGGCGTGCCCCAGACGCAGAAAAAGGGCTTGACATGCTCTCTTGGCCAACCAGAAGCCAAGAATAATCCCCTACCGGTGGTGGGGAGAAACAGCTTTAATAAGCGCGTAAGAGTTAAATATATAAATGTAATAACTCTTCGTGGTTGAAAACGTACTGCACGTGATGTTTCTATTATGATCATGCAAAAAGATGTAAGAATCGAAAGTGCAGCTTAAACTCTGTTTTGCTCAGACCGAATATGACCGCTTGGACGGCAGATTCCCGGCCCTCGGCGCCTGGCATACGGATTTAGTTGATCGCTCTGCTTTATGCCATTAAATAAGCTTCGCTTAAGATTAACGACACTTACCCATCTTGTGGCTTAAAATCATTGTTTCCAGTTATCTGAAGTTTTATCTGAAATCACTGCAAACGCTTTTCCGTTTTCCATAAATGTTGAAATAGTTCGCGACAGAGCAAAACAAAATTACATGAGCTTTCAAACACCACATTTAATGCCGAGAAAGTCTTTTTTGAATCATGATGATTGGCAGTGGCGTCTTCTCTGCAAAAACACCAAGATGGCGGCACCCGCAACAATATAGGGGAACAGAGGGCCGATACTCTAAGCGTAGCTCATTTAGTGCATGGCTCTACTTTTGTTAGATTTTTATTTTGCATGACTGTTATCGAAGAGTAACGTGCACCATATTTTCAGTCACCAAGAGTTACTCCGACGCACTTATTATTTTTGTTTCTCGCGATCACCGCCAGGGTTCGCGGCTTCTGGCTGGCCACATTCGAGTTTGTGGCGACGCCCTGGACTACGCCCAACCCGCTTGCGACCAATAGCGCCTCTTCATTTGCCCTCTATACTTGCCTCTATATGGCCAAACTCTTTCTATATACGGCTCTGATTCCTGCAACCTAGCCTCCATGGTCCGCCTACTGTTGGAAGACCTGCGCTTGCGGTAGCACATTCGAAACGTCCATCGATATGCCTCCGTTACCGCCGCGTCTGCTGGGGCCATCGTCCGAAAATCTGCATCCTTCACAGCCTTTGGAGAGAATGCAGAAGATGACGAAGAAGAAGAAGCGTGTCTATGGCGGCCTAGCAGCACTGGGCGTCCGGACGCCCGGAACATGTCCGAGCTGGGCATGACTGAGGTGTACGGCGGGCTCCGGCCAGGCGTGAACGTGGACATCCGGCGCACCGACGGCAGGGTACATCCGGCCGTCGTGACGGCCGTACACTCCCGCCTCGTCAACGTCGAGTGGTTTGAGAACGGCCAGACCAAGGGCAAGGATGTGGACAGGGTCGCCCTGGTGGGCCTCAACCCGGAGCTCATTATGTCACCACCGCCCGGGCAGCTGCCCCCGCCGCCACCGCCGCAGCGGCCCGAGGAACAGAAGCCGTCGGGCAACAAAAGGAAATCCACGGTGCCGCTGATTGACGCCGAGTGGCCACATCGTCGAGAAACAAGAGACACGACGTCGTCCCTGCCTTGCTCCATGGCCGTATGTGCTACCTCTTACTGTCCAAAGGGCGTCCGACCGTAACCAGGCGGCGCCGCCACTATATGCATAACAGCACCGTCTCCCGCCACGTTCTTGCAATCTCGGAGTCGTAACGAATCCACTGCCCCTCGGCGCCAAAAGTTTCATGGTGGCATCAGACCACACCGACGTTCGTTGATTGCAAGCTATAGAGCCATCTCTCGACATTTGTTTCCACTGCTAGGGCGGTTGCTCAGTTGCCGCGACGAGTATATTGAAACTCGAGTGCTGGAGGCCCATATCTGCCACTTTTCGTGCCAATACAACTAATCACTTACATCTGCAAATGTAAAAAATGAAAATGTCGAAATGCCTCCTTTTTCAGCTCGGTAATACGTTATTGTATATTGATTTTTTTTTTAAATTTAGTATTTAAAAGTAGTTGGAGGAAAAATAATACATTGTTTATTCGTCATAGGGAAATGCTACGTGCTGAAAAAATTACGTAGTTCAACGTGGGGGAGTAAAAACCGTGCGGCTCTCGCTAAGATCTATTGCTTCTTCAAGCCGCTACTTGTCGTCCCGCAAAAGCGTTTCATGGAGTTCTGTTGCAAACTGTCAGGCTGAGAGGACGGCTATATTTGCCATTCTGTCATGTTGTTCGTATACTCGCATTGTTTTGTTTACAACACATTCTAGAGGGTGATCTGAAACACTCGATGTTATAGTACTGGGACAGGTAAATGTACATGTCTGCAAGATGAAGCGTACAAAAGTATCCAGCATAAATTTAATGACAATATATATATATATATATATATATATAAGAAATTGTAAAATGCTGTGGTCTAGGTACAATGTGCACTTTAGGGGCGATAAGATTTGTAATTTTTACTAATTATCGGATTAAGTAAAAGTTGACAAATAAAAACAAAAACAAAAAAATCCATAAAGGAGAGTATACGATGACTGTGCGGCTCGAATTATCATGGTATACATGTAGTGCTCGGCTACCAGGCGGGAACAAACCCTAACGTCAACAACAAATCCAGGGGAGATCGAAGTGGTCATCGTTCTTGCAGCACGCGGGAACCGCTGCGGTTACCGAGGAAGACGCGCTGCGCGAACGCAACATCACGGCCGCCATCAGCTGCAACGAGGTGGACCTTTGCCACAAACTGAGCCGGGAACTCGAACAAGCTGCCAGGATGAACCTCGCGGGAACCGAGAACAAATTCCCCATGGTCACGACTCCCGATTTCCTGAACCAGCAACAAGAGGCTGAGGCCCTCGCGCAGCTACTGCGAAGGTACCGTGCCGCCTCCACAAATCCAGACTGAGGCAGTGAGCCAATGCATGGCGTACGGAAAGATGACAAATCTCTCAGACGCGGGCGAATTAGTTTCTAATCTTGATGGCATAATGTAAACAAAATGGTAGCTACGTCGTGCATTCCAGGGCAGGAGCAACAAGTAATGATATTCTAGTGCAAATGGATGAATATTACACCGGGTAATAGCAAATTAGATATAAAAAAGGCTAGGCAAGCTTATTTATACGGATATTTTATCTCCTCAGACGTAAAGCTGCATGCATTTTACAGCAGAGAGTAACAAATTTAAACTTGTCTCAATTCTTTTTATAAACCCCGGAAGCACGAAACATGTGTTCTGTGTGCATTTTGAATAAGTTAAAATGTATGATTGGTTGGAGAGAGCTTTGCGCGGTGCCAGTTGCATGGCGCGCACGACACACGCGTGTGCTTCTCGGATTTATTGGAATAATCTAAACAAGTGTAAACTTAATCAGGAATGGAGTGTGCGAAGAGCACGCTTTAATTATAAATTTGCGTGGGTCCTGTCTCCGGCGAATTTGAGCGTAGCAGCTGGAGTTGGACGCTCTTGAATAACGAGGGGCCCCTTGTGGTAACTGAAGAATAATATACGTGAGTTACGAGGCCCAAGTGATCTACGTGAATCGCGAAGACCACATCCGTATACACGCTCTGCTCGTCGTTCTGGATATTCCGGGTTGATTTGGCATGGCGAGCTCGAGTCGCTCATACATGAAATCCGGGAACCACGAGTTCTTGAGATGCCGCACGTGGATGGTGAACTAGCCGCACAAGATTATGGACATCTCGTGGTTCCCTGAGCTTATGTGCGAACGATTAGAGCTTGTCATGCCAGACCACTGGCTGTCGGCTGCCATTGACCACTACGCAAAGTCGTGACGCTATAACGCTATTAGTTGGTGCGTTATGATCCGCCAAGTGACATCGTGAGACCACGCGACGTCATCGTGACTTCACGAGATCCGGTGTTCTGTTATAGGCGGGAAGCATATTTGAGGTGCTTGCATGCTTTCGTAGCGAACACATCGTCGCTGAGCTGTAGTAACATTTGCAATATATTCTCCGAGTCGTCCTTTGTCTCCATGCTAGAAGCCTTTGTAGGCGACACCTAATTTGTTATATTTGTCGAGTAACCTCTCTGCCGGATGTAAATAAGCTAACACGTCGACAATGCCACCTATCAGAAAAAAAATATATATATACGCTTTTGGATGGTTTTTTTTTTTTTTTTTTTTTTTTAAGTAGAATGGCATTTTAACGGTAGCTGACTCAGATTTCGGTCTTCGCCCAAGGCCTGCGTGATGCGTCACGCGACACTGTTCCGCTGGGCGTAAGGTCGCTTGACACCACTAGAGTCAGTGAAGTCACGTAACCACGTCGCGTAACGCCAGGTCACGTGATGTCAGGGTGTCACGTAACATGACTCCGCATATCACCACGACTTCGCGCCGTCACGTCGAGTGACCACGTCCCATAACGTCACGGCGTCTAGACGTGCTGGCAATTGTCCGTCATAACACACGTCGGGCGACTCGACGTCTCATGCGACCTGGTCACGTGGCGTCACGGTTTCAAGTCATGATGTTGACATCACGTCACGTCACATCGCGTGATTGGTGCAACGTTGTGACTACGCGTCGAATCTTCTACACCGCAATTTCTGCGTTGGACGGTTTAAATGATAGATAAATATCCTGCTGCAATAGACACTTCTCAAAAAAAAAAAAAGTGCGCACCATATCGTAGTTGCTTTGCTAATCATACGAGGCCGCCATTGTTCGGGCACGCATTCTGCGCGTGTATTGGCCACGAGGCGTGCGTCGGCGTTCGGCAATGACGCGGATCCAATGGGGCGCGTCGTGCCCATGGATGGATGATATTGGCTATGCCCTTTGTAACGGACGGTAGCTCGCGCCACCTACCATGAGAAAATGCTTGCCTCTCTCACATACATACCTAATTTCTTTCCCCTCTACTAACCTGCAACTATCACCGGGCCGGGGGAATGAACCACCAGGCTGACCTTTGGGGGATCGGTCAAATACAAAATAAACGGCGACCGCCAATGTTGCTCGATGGGGTTCTGAAAAGAGTCTATTTGCATTGTGCAGCGTCTGTGGGAAGTCAACGCAGCGGAGTGCACCGAATAAACGTCGTACGCACCGGTCTCCTCACCGACGCAGGTACCGCGCCGTGGTGGACGTGAGTGACCTCTGGATGACGACGGACGTGAGGCTGCTCACCCGGCTGCTGAGCACCCGGGCGCTCGAGGACGACACCTGGCTGCGAGAACTCGAGGACCTGGTGCTCGTCAAGATGGAGCTCCTGGCCGGTCTCCGGGACTCCGTCGCCAGGCTCAGGAAGATCAGGTCCCTTACCGGGACCGTGGCGGCCAGGACCGTGGACGTCGATTGCCTGCGAAAGCGTTGATCGAAAACACCTTATTTCGCTGGAACGTGTTTTTTATTGTGTGTGTTTATATTTTTATTTTTACTTAAGTTAGATGATGTGAAACGACAACGACCCTTTTTTTAGTTCTATTTGGGTGATGCTGCCGGGAACGTTGAAAACATATAATTTCGTTGCTGTAAATTTGCTGGGATTTAACGCGTAACCGTTTTCGGGAAGAATAGTGGAACGAAACGAATTTTTAAATCTTCTTCAATTCGATGGTTCATTTATTTAATTTTAGTTTAGCAAAGACGACAATATATTTGTTTTCGCAATGTTTAGCAAACAAAAAATAATTCAAGAACAATTAATGCTCGTTAACTTTGTTGTCAGCTCTTCGCTGATGGCACAAGATACTGGGCTTCTCCAGCATGAGGTGATTCAAAGTAATCAATATTTTGGAAGTAGAATCCAAACAGGGTATTGGGAAAGTTAGTACATGTCAAGAAACCTCGGTATTAGGCGGTTCAGGATATAAACTATAGCAAAACAAAAAAAAAAGAGCAAGCTTACATCGTATCGCTAACAACGTTTAAAAAAAATTGGGCCAAAATCCATTATCTTATTGTCATGCTTTGGTATGAGTTTAAACAGCCGGCTTCCAGGGCTCGTGAAAACGTTGAAACGCAATAGAGTTCGTTGCTTTCGTAGCAAATGTACACAAGTGGATCACGCGTCTGTACTCGCAATGAATCCAGAAGTTCACGGTCCCGATGGTCTCCGGGAGTATTACCTTCTTTTTGTTGTCCAAGTAAGTATTTACGAACATAAATTAAAAAAAAAAAAGTTCACACAAGACCAGTTTTGAGATGTGCGTAGAGTAAAAGCAACAGACTCGTGCGTTGAGTAAAGGCAAACACGATCTTCTCTTACGAATGACACGACAGACACGACAGACACTCCGAGCGGCGAGATACTGCTAGAGGGAGATAAACTTCCACCTTCGAGGGCAGAACGCTGGTGACAATGACACGAGAGATGTTCGCGGGTGCTTACGATGGCACGTCGACGTTTCGGCGACCGGAACGTCATTTCCAAAGTTACATTTGCGGAGCCTTCCGGCGCGCGACAGGGAGCGTGTAAAATAATCAAAGTGTCAACGCAGTTCGTATTTATGGCAGTACGCTCGATACGCATCTATTGGAAGCAGTGATTGACATTGGTATATTCACAAACACATCGATACATTAAACTTGTCGAAGAAAATGAGGGGACGGACAAACTAACTTCCAACTGGAAACAACATTTAATGACACCAAGAGTTTGCTTATATACAGAAAAAAGGAGGGGGGGGGATGAAAAAAAAGGTGTGGAAAGGAGTGTTCTCTCTTGGTGTAGTAGATTTGTATTATAGTCTCAATGTGAAAATTCTTCTGGGGTTTGTGTCTGAAGCTGTGCATTAAGAGGCGTTATAGATTTTCAAAATTGCTGTGGCATCTCACTCAGCATTTCTTCAGTTGATTCGCCTGTATCTTCAGTCCACCCTAGTCGAGCACGAGGGCAAAGTGTTCTTTCGAAATTCAGGTGAGTGCATAGGGTCGTGCCTAGCGCCCATTCTAAGCGAAATCTTTACGTTTCACGTTGACACAAAGGTGCAATCAAACCTTGAGCAGGAATTTCCCGAAGCCAGGGATTATCGCTACGTAGATGATTATCTTTTCCTTCATTTCACTAATCCAGATACCGCAGCGATTGAAAGCGTTTTCCAGAAGAACTCATTCGAGCTCACGTTCACAAAAGAGACCCCCTCATCTGAGGGATTACAGTTACTTGATTTGAAATTGGTCCCCACCACTGTCGGGATCTGCTGGTCAAATCTGCAGAGGTCTGCGAAGCCTGTTCTGCCGTTCAGCAGCTCGCACTCAAAAAACATGAAAACTGGTATTGTTCAAAACCTTATTGCTGCTGCAACACCCAAGTCGTGTCATCACCTTTCACCAACTAGTCTGTCCAATCAGATAGGCCGCCTTCTCAAGGCAGGTTACCCAAACGACTTGATCGAGCTTACCATCAAAATACTTGTCACAGGGCCTCAATCCAAAAAGCCGCCTTCAAAGTCCCGCTTCGCGTGCATCCCCTACATTCATAACATTTCGCATCGACTGAAATCAATAGCACAAGGCTTCAAAACCAACGTGGTTTTCTCGTGTAAATTTAAATTTGCATCTATTCGTAAAAAAAAAAAAAAAAGTCAACAGCCCCGGATTAGCGTCCCTTGCCAAAAGAACCACAAAACCTGTTACGCCTTGCCGCAAGGATGTGTTTACTCAATTCACCGCCCGATCGTTATACACAATCGGGCGGTGAAAAAAAACACTCCTGCTCGGCCGTTCTTCCCTCTGCTACCAGAATGGGGGGTCACCCCTTGAGGTATCGTCGGGAGATTCTAGAAGCCTTCGCCATGTGTCGATCCAAGGACAACATCGGTTCCCCCTCCACTGCCCTTTCGGGGAAAGAGATAAGATCTCTAATGGCGAATTTTACTGGGAGTTTTGGAGCGCGCCGGGATCAGTTGACCAGACCCGGAATGGAGCACACGATCCGAACAGGGTCGCGCCGCCTACGGATCCCCAGTAAAACATGACCACTGCTCCGGGATCGGCGAATGCCTTCCTGTCATTCACCTTCCCGGGAATCCCCTTTCCGCGGCCGCCGCGGTCGTTTCGAAGACGTTTTCGCAATCGCGGTGCTAACAGGAATGGCTCAGGAGATGCTAGCAAAGATTGCCGGAATGGCCCCTGCGCGGCAAAACCTTCTCTTCTCCTTCCTGGTGAACAGTGTCCAGGTAGGTCTCAATTTTCGGCCTCTTCTGCTGGGGTGCGAAAAGACAGTGGAACTCATGCTGGACATGAGAGGTATTCTCGTCGTCGCTGCTACTAGAGCCGCTGCTGCTGGAAGAACTCCTCGAGCAACTTGACGACGAAGTGTCGTCAAGCAGCAGCAGCAGTAAGGCGGGCGGTACAGGCGGCACCTCCCGAGCCGCCATTACGAATTCTTTTGAGGCGAGATGGGCGAGATCAGGCGAGAAGCCCCGCGAGAAAGAAAGTCACGTGTGCGCGCCGAGGGCTGGCCCGTCTGGCTTCCCGTTGAATCCGTTGAAATCGGAGGAGCGACTTTTCTCGGATCCAGATCGAGATCTGGAGTGGGAGCTAATCCAAAACGACCTGTGGAACACGTCTGTCTCGATCCCGATCGCCCAGTGAAATAGGGTCGCTCCTGAAAAGTCGTTCCCGGCGCGCTCCAAAACGACCAGTGGAATTCGCCATTAGTTCGGAGCTTTCTCCCCCAGCGTTCCCGACAGCGACGTACTCTTGACGGCATAATGCTCCTCCTTTCCACCCCTCCCCCCCCCCCCCTTTTTTTGTTTTGTATATAAGCAAACTCTTGGTGTCATTAAATGTTGTTTCCAGCTGAAAGTTTGTCTTTGTCCGTTCCTTCTCGTTTTCTTCCTCAAGTTTAATTATCCCTACTAACCCGCTCGTTCTGTCCTTACATCGATACACCTTTGTTCTTGTTGTTGTCCTCGAATTGCTTTTCTCTCGTGTTTTTTTTTTTTTCTTATCCTAAAATTTTATGTTTTTGTAGTTGTTTTTTGTGCACGACTATTCGCAAAATATATTATGCCCCAGCATTGTAAATTTGTAATTTTTTGTGTTTTTTTTTTTTGTTTTAACGAACTAAATCGAACAATGAAATAAATGCCTTTCAGATGGCGTTTAGCTTTATGCCATTCGAGCAAAGTACTCCTTTCAAGGTGTCTCTTCATTCAACTCTACATTGACACGCGGGATCCGTCGTCACGCCAATATATTGGGGGAAGAGGATTGAGGGGGGCGGAATAATATCTATCGAACACACAGTCCTCGAAAATATGAACACGGGAAAGGGGACGCAGATCGCTAGGAGGCCGGAAGAATTTTGAGTCCCTCCTCTGCCCCCTTCCCTCCCCCTCTTCCCCACACGAAAAATAGGCATAACCGAGAAAAGGGCTCAAGATGGGCGAAGCACGTCGGGATTATTGGCGTGCAAGGCAGGGAGAGAAAGAAAAGACGGAAGAGGAGGAGGGAAGGTCGGCGTTCATTATGAAGCCCTATTAATACTAGTCAGGGATCGCGCGCTCCAATGACGTAAACGATTATGAAGGGTCCCCCTCCCCCCGCGCAGTGCACACCCGGTAGATCCGCACGAGTGAGGTCCTCGAGGTTCATCGGCGCTAGCGCTAAATGGATTCGCAGCCGGGTTAGTGAAAGGAAGTAAAGAGAGACGATAAATGACAGAAGAAAGGGAAGGAGGAAAAAATGTAGAAGGAAGGGGGAACCTCGTCATAATCTTCGGAAAAGCTTCGGCGTGTTCGGAGAGAGCCGAAGAATGTGGCTCGAGATATATACCAACACAATAATACTAAAAAAAAAAAAAGAGAAAAAGCCGGAAGAAGTAGGTGTCGAAAAGCAGTGAGCAAAAAACTCGTTGAAGGGGAGGGAGGAGGATTCAAAGCGTTCATATTTGGAGATGAGCTATTGCCCGGAGGGTTTGTTGGAACGGAGGGTGACCGGTGATTAATTGAAGTCTGGCAGGCCCTCGACAATGGAAGGGGGGTCCCTTTTCTCCATAGAGGAAGCTGCCAGGAATTTGAGGCCTCATCTCTGCCCTCCCCTTTTCCCTTCCCCCGGTGTGTCTGTGTGTTTGTGAGCGCCGGAGGAGACGGACGAGGAGCGGGGAAATGGAGGAATCCGCCGGCCATATTGGAAGTGTACTGATGGACGCGTGATGAGAGGTGCGCTATCCGAGGGAAAAAATAGGGGAGAAGGTATGGGTCCGAGATTAATGGGGGAGATGCGGCCGAGCGGTTATTAGCGCCCAAAGTGGTGATGCCTGCGTGTGCTGACACGAATGGTCCAACGATCGTTGGTCTGAGTTTTTAGCTCTCTTTTCTCTCTCTCTCTCTCTCTCTCTCTCTCTATCTCGCTCATAATTACGAC